GAGAGAGAGAGAGAGTTTATACCCTGGGAACCAGTACTTTTGTATTTTCTTTGTTTTTTATATCTTGATTTTCTTGTTTTCATTTATGGGCTGCATCAATTGATCTCATGTGATGGTGTATTTCTCTATTGTCAAATTTTATCTCTTTTATTATATATGGGAAAATATTTGTTAGTCTCATGGTCCCTGGCCCATATCCACCACTATTGATTGTGATGGACCAAGAAATTGTTCCAGATCAGTATCCTCTGCTCCAAATCTGTCTCCTTCACAAAAAACAAAAAAAACAAAAAAAAGACAAAAAGGAAAAAGAAAAAAAGATTTGGAGCTCCAAGAATGCTCGAAATCCACTGCACCCACGATCCAATTTGCACTCTCCATTTGACATATGAAGCTTTTTTGGAGATCGAAATCAATTTTTATGGGTTGAAAAATATTTTTTGTTCCCGTGGTCCCTTGCCTATATCCACTGCTATTATTGGTTGACGGACCAAGAAAGTTTTCCGGACAGTGTCCTCCACCCCAAAATTTTTTTGGAGGTCCATATCAATTTTTACTTGGAGGAAAGCATTTGATGGCTTTCTGGAAAGGACAGCTTGAGGAAATAAGGTGTGGTCCTTGTAGATCATGAATAGGGTAATCTGCTTTGAGTTGGCTGTTGAGAAGGTTAGAAACTATATAGGTTGGTGTTTTATGGAATCTTTTGTTTGGGTTCATGTCTGTGTCAGGCATGTAACAACACACATGACGACATACTCTTCTGGTTTCTTCGTCTTGTTCCCATTAACTACATTGATTTAGACTTTGATCGTCTTTTTTAAATTCAGTTGGCACATAACCTTTGAAAATCTGTATGAATTCAGCTGGCTAAAGCATAATTTATTTATTTTTGGCTACTCATACATAAGTGGCTATGTCCAACCAAAATAGTGTTTTATGATCAGTCGAGAGGTGCTTGGATACTAAGAACAGTTATTGATTTATTTAAACTTTAGATGCAGTAGAAAGAACCAAAAACATGGACCAAAGATTAAGTTGTAACCGATGTTCAAACACTCGGCTAGTTCTGGATAACCCCGTCTTGGGTAACTTGAGTCTTGACTGATCCTTGCCCATGTCTATCCTAATCTTGATCGAATTTGTCTGGAACTTTAAGAAATAGTTATTTTTAAGTTCAAGTCTTGACATGTTTGACCTGGGATTCACCGAGCGCACTCGCTCCCAGCCATGCCCAAGTTTCATGGGTTTCATCTGAATCCACTAGTTGAAGATTCATGATTTGTGGTATGAGGTTAGGGCATAGACAAGTGCATCCATTAGGCATGTGCTCTCCAGTTTTGAACTTGATTTATTATTGGTGAAGGGTTTTTGTGTGGCCAGACCCCAATCGATCGAGGGACTTGCTTTTCATTTGTAAGCCTCTAGGATGAAATAAATGGAAATATATTATGGCTCATCGAGCTCTTTCTCCCCCATTTCTTCGTGGTACATTTGCAGAATTATGTTTGTCAATGATGGCTGTGAAGAAGGTTGAGGATTTCTATATTATAAACAATTATGGAGAAACTCTCTTGGATGTTCACTGTTTTCTAGATAAAAAATCTCTATTAACATATCCAAGTAATCCAATCATATCTTTAATGCATATTGTATTATCTATGATAGAGCAGAATGGCGGATCAAGATTTCTGTAGCCGACTCCAAATAGTTGGAGAAAGGCTTTGATGATGATAATATTGTGTTATCCATGGACAAATTGGGCTAGACCCTAAAAATCCAATCTATCGGAAAACTATAAGATACATAATTCAGTTCTTGATGTCTTATAAATACTCTTGATTTGGAATACTAGAACGTTGAAAGAGACGGCAGTTCTCAAAACAGCAATGGGTTATAATTTTTTGTTTCCTCAATTTGTTTCATGTCAATTGTGAATGAAATTGAGTGTTTAACCAACCCATTGTAGTAATAATTTGATTGATTTTGCATATAGTAATATCTTTGCTTGGTGTTCTTTTCTTGATTGGTTCATATCATTGCATGGTGTTAATAGGAAGAAATTGCTGGAAGGTGGATAAGGTGCACCAAACGTCTCAAATATCGAAAGGAAAAGATCAGTGTGATCCAACATCATTTGAATCTCACATTGAAAGGTTATCGGGCCTTTATTTACAGGTCATTCATTTGGCTTCGAACTGCTGCCTCCCTCTGCTTTACATGTATCATTTACAATCTAATAGCGTCTATCTAAATGAAAAAGTTTATATAAAGCATTAACTTCATACCATAGAAGTAAGGTTCACCTGAAAAACCCTCCGAACAACAGTTGTTCCAATGCTAGAAAACCCTCCAGTTGATCATCTCAACCTTGGGATGTATTGAATCTGTAGATATTCAAAACAAGGATTTCGGGTCCTACAAATGCTGCGTTTTGTAATATTTGACTGTCCATTTTCTAAACTTTCAAGAGTTTATAGATATGCTCGATTTAAATCATTTTTGGAGTTTTAAATTTCATAATTAGGAATGGAAATAGACTTTCAAGTTGTTGAAGGAATTTCCATCATCAAAATTGCATCTTCCAGCAAGGCATGATACTGCACCTTACTTCGATTGTATGAGGTTGACATCTCATTCAGACCACACCCCTGTCTAAATGGCAGTGAGAAAGCTAGAGCTGTGTTTGCCTAATGGTTGATCAGACGGCTAGGAAAAGAGGCGGTTTGTGAGTATCTAATTTACTTATTGTTGTTTCAGTGGTGACCATGATATGGCTATTTCATATATTGGAACTCTGGAGTGGATAGGAACATTGAATTATGCAGAGCTGGAGAGTTGGCAACCATGGTTCGTAGGGGACCAAATAGCAGGGTATAACTTTTTATTCTTTCAAAAGTATCATCATGGAATACTTACATGGTTATGCTTACACTGCACACAAAACAGGTTCTGAAAGCATCTTACATTTTCTTAAATGTATTATTGGTGAAAGTTCGAAGCAATCCATATTCTCTCTATTCCTGTCCATATGAAGTTTACATATAACAGAGGGAGAGAGAGAGAATATGTGTGTGTGGAGGGGGGAATGCATGCATAGTATGGACATTCTGTACAGCTATATGCATACAAGTGGTAATCAATCTTTTGGATTTCAGGTATACTATTCGCTATGAGCATAATTTACTATTTGCCACAGTGAAGGTATGAAACGTCCATTGAACCCATTCTACTCAAACGGTATCACATCTCTTTTATATGCTGAATGAACACCACCAATTTTGTGTTTGTTTTTTTTTCCCTCCAATGGAACTTAACTAATATGTAGTTCACTGTTATACGTTCTCAAGAGATGAGGTGACTGTTCAACAGGGTGCTGGGCACACGGTCTCAGAATATATGCCTCGTGAAACACTTGCGGCCTTCCAACGATGGATTGATGGTGCTGAGTACCTCTAAATGCATTATCTTTTGGAAATTACTGTGTAATAAGTGCCCTCCATTTGAGCAACTGTTATTTAAGTGCATGTTATTGGTTTGTACCTGTTTTGTATGGGAACACATTGTAAATGTCTTAGATGGATAGGGCAAACAAGTGTTATCTATGAACAATGGGACCTTGTAAATTTCTGATTTTTGTTTGGGTTGCCAAATATTATTGAAGGTGTGGATCTTTCTAAAATAGTCCTGCTTGTCTGAAGTGCGAAATAACTTTTTGGCCATGAAGTTGTGCACACAGCCATGGATGTTTGAGTTCAGCAAAGAAGCCAGTTGGGTTTTCAAATCATGAAAGAACAGGGAAACCCATCGTTGCATCGTAAACCAGACCACTAGATTGCTAACTCAATTATCTGCATGAGGCGTTCGGATTCTCTATTGGGGTTTGTGGATTTGCACTTGGGATTGACTCACATTTGACACCCGAATGGTGTGATCAGTTGAGATAATGGCTGTTAGAGGCTTCTCCTGTTCATCAATTGCATATAGTTCTCCATCACTCTAGTTGTGTATGCCACTCAGTTGTTCGGGTCATTTGGTGTATATTTGTGTTTTCATTGTATATAATGTGGCTGGAGCAGTAGTCTTTTTGCCTGATCTTACTTGTATATGAGCCTTAAAGGCCCTACTTTTCACTAAACTTTTTACAGAGACTGGTATTTGGTCAGTCCACGGTATTGCTTTGGCCCTTGCGGGGGAGATTTGGTTGACTTGGCCCTTGCAGGGGAGATTTGGTTGATTTGGCCTTTGCGGGGGTTTGGAAGCAGTAGCCCCCGAGGAAAATTTTCGGATATATCCGTACATGGGATTCGATATATCTGGGACTCGATATATATCTGTACAAGGGTATTTCGATAATTCGTACCATCTATCTGGGACTCGATATATATTGTTGCGATGGGGTTTTTAGGGTTAAAGAAAAACGCATATTGTTTTGTAATCAGAGGTGGTTTTTAGGGTTAAGGTAATCAAAGGGGGTTTTTAGAGTTAAGGAAAAAATGCCGATTGTTTTGTAATCAAAGATAACAGAGAGGTGTGAGGAAGACAGCTATTGTAATCATATTCTCTATTGTTAGTAAAGAAGCTCTCATCTTATGTGGATGTAGGCACGTTGTTGAATTACGTATATATTAGTGTTGTGGTTAGTTGTCTCTTTCTTTTGTGTTGGTTTCCTTCTGTCTTGTTTCGTGGATTGTTTTTCATTTTCAACAAGTGTAACATTCCGCATAATGTTTCTGAGGGAGGCGCCATTAAGGGTATGTTTTTTTTTTTGTATTTTTGGATGTACTTATTATTATTATTGCTGATGGTTTACAATTTCAACAAAATTAATCTTGAGAATAAATTATTTTTTTGTTTGGCCGTTTATATGATATAAGTTTATAGGTAGTTTTAGGTATAAGTTTATCTGTTTGAAAAGCTAGTTTGCTTTATTCAAAGTAATTTGTTGAGAATTATGTATTTTTTTTTGTTATAAATGGTTACAAATAACTGAAAATATATAAAAAATAATAATTAAATAATATTATATATAATATTTATGTATATTTTATAAATGGCTACAAATAAGTGAAAATATATATACAAAAATTAATTAAATAATATTATTTATAGTATAAGGTGCATTCTAAACGGCTAACAACCTAAGATTATTTAGAATATTTTAATCATAGATAAAATAGTCATATTTTTAGATAAAATGAATCCCATTAAAAAAAAAAACCCTAAAGCAATTTCTAGGACCACCTTGTGTAGTCTTGAAGTGTTTTTTTTGGGTAAGTCCGTAGAGGAAAAGGCCTTCATTAATAGAAAACGAATAACACGTTATTATACAACCTTATAATGGGACAATTGCGCTAATAAAAGGGGAGAGAAATTGAGACGGACGATTATGTCAAATTGTGGCTCCTGTATGAACTGATTCGTATCCCCTACCATATTCGCCTAAATGAAGTCTTGAAGTGTTGAGAAGGAATAGAATGAAACATGATTAAGGAATAACTGATTTTCAAATGTTGTAGTCATGGTTCATGAAGCAGCTATAATCTTGAGACGTCGGGTAGATGGAATTCATACATGTGCCTATCATACCGTATATTGCTTTTCAACGGGTGAAAGGCCTTCCATGAAGGATGGAATTAGGGGTGGCAACGGGGCCGGCCGTTCCGGGCCTGGATGCAAAAAATGATAAAGAATTTAGACCAATCTAAAAATTTATATTATATATATATATATACTTAAATTGAACTAATTTGTACATTTATCTGGTTAATATACCAAAGTCGCTGTGATCCAAAGATCATCGGGAGCCAAGAAGACCACAAGGTGCAGGGACTGTTTTCGATTGACTCAGGGAAAGAAAACTAAAATAAAATGACCAATTTGTTTAGAACACTATCGAATATAACCGTTTCTGGTAGTTCTAGTAATAATACTCGACAAGTAAATAATGGACAAAAATTAATAATAGATAATATTGAGAAACAATTGCAAAACTGGAATATCCCAAAGGTCCATACGAATGATATTTATAAAAGGGGAACATTTGAGTTTAAAAGCAGTTTTTCAATAAAAACAATTGAAGAAACTTTCTCAGTTATGGAAAATCAAGATAGCTTTCAACTCTTTTCAACTAGAATGATTGAAAATCATATAAAAAGGGATTATAACTATCATCATATAGGTCTTGTACAAATAGCAGTAAAACCATTAACTAGAGAAGGATTAAACAATTCGGTTTTACTCTGTCTAAGAGATAGTAGACATAGAAGATTCAGTGACTCTCTTTTAGGGATCGTTGAGTCGAGTGTCTATAATGGACCCATATATTTCAACTACTTTCTAAATTTTTCTGTGTCCGTATCTGATCCAAATTTATTAAAAGTGTTAACCCTTAACCTTAAAACTCAAGGTTTTGACATGGACCCCGGATCCCAGAATTTGGCTTTTGTTTATAGAATTTGTTATAAGGTCATGAGCACTCTTTGTCCTAATGCAAGATTAATAGATAAAAAGGGACAAACAATATTTTTTCAAACAAAAATAGAAAAATCCAATCTTGTCACGCCTAAAGCTATATGCAGGAAGCAGGTACACTTACCTGAAAATTGGTCTCTACAAACTGAGACTCATTTACTTATTCCCGAAAATAAAGAGCCTGAACAAATAATTGAATATCTAAATGGAGAAATTGAAATTCAATTTCCATCACGTAGAAGAACTAGATTGAGTATTTCAAATACTGTTTTAGCTCATAGGCTGCATGCCAAGAATACCGGACCTTCAACTTATACTCCTTTTAGAAGTTCGACTTCTTCAGTACCTCAATCTAATTATGAAAAAGCACATGATGGCAAAATCATTTTAGAAGGATTATGAAAAAAAAAAAACATGTACACATCCAGTTTATACTGTAAATACTCCCAACTCTTCTAAGACTGAGCCTGATGAGTCAACCATGTCTGAATTCGATTTCGAAGTTCTGACAATTCAAACTCAAGATAAGTTTGTCATAAGTAAAGAATGGGTAAAAAGGGATTTTTTATCTGAAGAAAATAAACAAATAAGGGAATGGTTCCTCAAAGAATTTAGTAAAAGACAAAAAGAACTCTTTCATAGTAAATTCAATAAATTTATGATACAATATAAAACAAACATAAAATTTTTTAAATGACTTAGGTATATCATTAAAAAGGAAGGAATAAAATACCCAGAATTTCAGGATAATACTATCCAGAATATTAATACTGTCCAAAACACCTTTCAAACCATTCATACAGTTAAAGGAGAAAGCATTGAAGTTATCCATCCTCTTGAAACTAGTCTGAATCTAAAAGGAGAAAAACAAGACATAAAAGCTCCACCTTTCAAAATTGGACAAAAAGATTCTGATAACCATATGGCTAAAATTGAAGTCATACCCAATATAATAGAACAAAATAATTATACAAATCTATTCCTATAGACTATAAGGAAACAGACCAATAGAATAGAAAACGTCTTAAATAAAATAAAACCTCAAGAGAAGAAAGAAGATATAGAACAGAGTTCAGTTTTATTCAAACAGCTTCGGAGGATTGCTGCAGAAAAATTTAACCTGCAAGGAGTTAAAAGGAAAGAAGATAATAAAGAATCGGTAGATGAGCTGATGAAAAGATTTGAAAAATTAGACATTAAAGAAAAATCAGGTAATGTCCAAGTGCTTCAACAAGAAAAATTTTTTCCTGATCTTGAAATATCTAAAATAGAAGAAGCTTTTAAACCAGAAAGCTTGGAGCTTAATAGGATTGACTATGGGAAAAAGACTAGGCCTGTAGCCCCAACAAGAATGTATTATCCTAGGCCCACTCCTATATATCTACAAATAGAAGATGACATTATTACTACCTCAGTCTCCTATTCAGAATGATCTATAATAAATTGGAATATTGATAGGATGTCTGAAAATCAAATTCTCAATCTCATGAAACATATGACTATGTATAACACCTCATGTAAAGCAAGTGAAAATCAAGACCACAAAATTGCTAAAGCCATTATATGTAGGTTTACTGGAGGGCTTAGAGGATGGTGGGATTTTCATATGGACGAAGAAGCAAAAAATCAAATCCTAAATGCTACTAAGCAATGAGCTGTTAAAAGTGAGGTAGGACCAGGACATGTCCTTTAGAATATAGTTACTGATGGAGATGTAGTAAATACTCTAATATATACCATCACACTTCACTTTGTGGGGAGTACGACTCTTTTATCAGCTAGATCTGAGGATCTACTTTCAAATCTTTTTTGTCCAACTCTCGCACATTTCAAATGATATAAAGATGTATTTTATTCAAGACTCTTATCCAGAGAATATAGTAGAGCTGACCATTGGAAAGAAAAATTCATTGCTGGACTTCCTAATTTATTTGGAGAAAAGGTTAAAATAAGATTGAAAAATCAACATGGTGGAATTATTCTTTGTTCTTTGTACACTCTTGGAGAATTATCAGCAGAAATATGTGTTGAAAGTCTTGCTTTATGCATAGACTTAAAATTGAAAAGAAAACTGGAGAAACAAAGAATGATGGGGAAAAATGAATTGGGAGATTTTTGTGAGCAATTCGGCTTTAATACAATACCTACTTCCAAGCCTTCTCACAAACATAAATTTAGAGACTCTAGAGATTCTAGAAAGATAAAGTCTAGTTATTCAAAAGGAAATAAAAATACATTTATTAAGAAATTCTTACAAGATCACTCCTTTAAGCAAAAGGGCAAAAGGAAAATACCAGTTTGCTATAACTGTGGAAAAGTAGAACACTATAAAAATAAATGTCGTGTGAAAAAAAAAAAAAAAAAAAATTTTAGAAATAGACCTTGAAATAAAAAAGCAATTATTTGATACCATCTTAATTAAAAGAGATGACTCTGAAGAATCTTCTGACGCTGATGAAGAAATGCTCATCGGAGAGATAAATGATGAAGAATTGATTTTTTCTAGTTCAGACTTTGAAACAAATTCTAAAGATATAAATTGTCAATGCAATTTTTTAAAAGACCTAAACTTAAATACTCTAACTAAGGAAGAAAATTTTATAATTGACCTAATTGATAAA